ACACTATTTTGAATATATCTCCTTTTATCTAAGATACTTTATACTCTGTGTAATTTTTACAAATATGGAATATTTTTCAAAACTTTTTAGAACACCATATTTGGAGTATAGAGTCAACATATGCATAAACCACCCCAATAAATATTGCCAGATGTATAATTTATATTTAATTCAAAAATACGTATAGAACTATTTCTTTAGGTTTAATGTTCATGTACACACAATGTATAATATTTTTAGGTAAATTTTCACAATCTATAAGTAACAATGAATTACGAGTATGTAATCTTTCTTTATTACATTTTATATCGAATCAGCTATGGCATAAACAATAAAAATTTGTAGATGATTTTATAAATACTTATACTAAAATTACAAAAAAAAACACAATATTGTTAATAAAACAACTATGTAATATAGTTATATGAAAGTACCAGAATTTTTTTTTCTCTTTTATATATCGTTATGTAGACAATAAGTATCCCACTTATAAAAACATAAAGAAAAAAGGTTAAATATAAATCCTAATAAACAACACTAACAATAAATATATTTTATACATAATATTAATAGAAAAATTTGCTAAACTTTACTACAAAATATACTTATTTTCTTTTTCTTTAATGATTTTTTATTATTTTCTAAAAATATGCTTTGTTGTATTTTATGCTTATATTTTTTATTTACTACATAGTTTTTTGTCGAATATATAACGCAAGGATATCTGAAAAAGATTTATTTACACATTGTATACTCTTTATAAATAACAGAAACACAAGCAGCAGTGAGTCATACATACGTAATTTTTATATTTTAACATAATCAAAAATTTTTGCTATACTAAGTGACTTTTCATTTATGCTAAAATTTCCCGTTCGTTGCGAACGTACAAGTTGTCATGGCAAATGACAATATCTTCTATTTTAGACTCATGCTATCATTGAAAGGGACTTAAATGTTTAAATAATCTTACCATTTATTTTTATTATTATATGAAAAAACAGTTTTACACATGCCCACCCAATAAATGTATTTTTCATTTATTTCATTTCGAAGATTGTGTGTATTGCATTATTGTGAGCTATATTCGAAATAATATATTAAAGATGCAAAACTTTTCACATTTGCGGTGAAAACGAGATATAATAGCATATGTATGTGTATGCATTATAGTTACTTAGTCTTAATTTGTTTAAAGTTGTATACTTACATGTTAGCATTTTACAGAATTGAAGCCATGTGTGATTTATGAACACCTAAGTAAGTCTTCTCTGACAATTCTAGAGCAGCTAACACAGTAATAATTTAAATAGATATTTTTTTTTAATACAAATGTCAGTTACAACGCAGCATTTGCATAATACTACCTTTTCTTTTAATCAACTGCTATATATTAGCTACATATTACATATTCTTATCTAAACAATATATTCAACTCATCTTAATATATGCTATAATTATAGCAAATTCATTACAGTCTCTTAATCAATGAAATATCCCTTTATACATTATGAATAATTATACCATAATATCTTACTCATAAAATTATAACTACCATTAACACACAAAAAGTATAGTATAACAGTATTTTCATATTTCACGAAGATATCTAAAAATTCATTGTTTCTTTTTTTATTTAAAAGTCTGAGTCGCTAATGTGATTATATTTATTATTTTATCTTGGAAGAGAACTCTCTCGTCATTTTTGCTGATCCTATGAAATTTAATTAGAGCTAAGTGACTAGAAATATCCCTACTTTTCTTCCATTAACATATACATTCTTTTTTTGGCAAGATTTCTGTGATATAAATGTACGAAATAGTGAACAATTTTTGGAAATACTATATCTATCATTGTATAATACATGTCTGACGTTTATCGTTCGTATAGTGATCTGTACAGTTTTAATTTAAACAGCTTCGTTATTCTATATTTACAAAACAATTCACTGCATGTGTGCTATGTACATAAAAGTAATAGCTTTATAATTACTCAGATGGCACTAAAATCTTATACCGCAGCTTTAAAACATTTATACCGTTAACATGTAATATTGCACTGAATATCAAGTGTCGGATAGTCCTCACAGAGCTAATAACGAAACTATTGCCACATTGGCATATCCATTAGGTTAATATAAAGCTTCATAATCTTCTAAAATACTATTGATAGATAATGATTTTTTTAAATATGTGTGGAAATTTAAATGCTATAAGTTTTCAAGTTAATATGGGGCAGTTTTAGAATATTATACACACGTACGCACACACCACACACATACGCGCGCGCACACACGCACACACACACACAAGGTGTCCCCCTTTAATCTATGCAGTAAAACATTCCTCGTATAAAACATAAGCAACAAGTCACTAAATTCATTTTATTATATATTATAATACTATGAAATATATATAAATAATATATAAATATATTATATATATTACTTTTTTCATAAAGACAAATCTCAAATATCCACTTCTAACGCATTTAGAAAAGATCTTGTTTGACAATATTTAACAAAAAATCAATTGCATAATAAAATTTTTTGCATTCTTTCTCATTGCAGAGACTGCACTGTGTATAGATCGAAATGGAACATCTAGTATATACCTTGCGCACACACATATTATGCTAGTAAATAAAATTTAAATAGCAAAATTCGGGAAACACATTTAGGTGCCTTTAAATAGTGAACATGATATATTCTGGAATGTTTCAGGCCCTATTCAACTATCTAAATTACTTTTTCCCAATTCATAGACAATATAAGAGAAAATATACTTAACGATGGTAACATTTACTTTCCTGTCATTATGTGTTATATGTGCACGCATCTTATAATTATATAATGAGTGAGACATTCATATTATAAGGCATCACCTATCATACCTTCATTACTGTGTTCCAGAGATTCACATCCAAACAATACGTATTCTTCTCGTGACAACCAAAACGGATTACCTTCGATATATTCCGGGGGAGTTTTATCTAAAGCAAGTTTCGCGAAAACATAAGATTACTTGACACTGTGATTTAATTATGTTTCCAAATATTATTCTATTTTATTTTTTAACGCGTTTCAATCAATATGATGCTTGCTTTCATAATGGCATGATACCGATTTATTTATTATTATTATTATTCTTCGTTATATTTGCTGTTAATATAACATAATTCGTAATTTTATATTTATTTGTAAAATAAGTACAAAAGCTTGTCAGTGCTTACCAGGATGCACGGCTAAAGGCACATACGTAGATCCCATTGCGACATTCCAACTATGTGTACCAGGACAGCTTCTCACTTCTAAAATTGTGCTATATTCTGGCAATTGCTCACGTAAATCCTTCGTAAGTCTTAATTCGAAACCCGAAAGATCTGTATTTCCACCAGTGAGTAAAATGTGGGAAAGACAATCGTGCATTATATCTTCCGGTAATCCTGATGTCACATCTTTTATAACTTCGGGCAAACCAAGGCTGATGTACATCATTTCAGGGGCTATATATAATTCTGGTCCTAAGGAGACTCTCTAAAAATAATAGTATTTTTACACACAAGTGTATTTTTATCGCGCGATTAAATACGAGAATTATTAACAAAATAAACAAGTTTTTCTTTTTAACTGTAATATATGTATATATGTATATATACATATAATTTCTTCTAACATGTGCATACCCAAAATTGTTTGTAGTCTGCGTAGCTATCAACTCGAAGATTGATGTGCTCTCTTGCTTTCGGTCCTAGACGTTTCTCTTCGTTCTTAATATTATAACTCAGCCTGCACTTTTCTTTAACAGCCAAAATGTCTAGGTAGGATATAGGAATTTGATGATACTCCTTTGGTTGCCAGTGCATAGCTTGCTTCAAGTGATAAGCAACGTGCCAACCACCCACAGGCAACAGCCTCCAGCGTTGTGGTATAACCCGTCCTCCGATTACGACAGCTACCGTTGTGGACAAAGCACCGCTATCAACTACCACGCAAGTCTCCACATCCAGCATGGCACATGCTGCTAGAGGTTTCGGCACCAGACATACTCTGCAATAATTCTAGTTGTAGAATTCTACAACTATTCTATATATAATTCTTCATATAGTATTTAGATTGCATAGTTGCACAAGATATATTTGTGAATATTGAAGTGATAGTAATATATATGTAAAAAATATACATTGAATATCATTAAGTGAGCATACCTCGCTACTTTAACTTCCTGGAATAAATAATGTAATAACTGTTTTCTCAATGTGGGATGCATTGCCAATGGTTCGCAAAACATAAGCACAGTATTCGGCTTTCTCAGTGTCGCAGTCAATCGCATTTGGTGAAATAAGTGATCGATAAAAGTTTTGAGAACTGGAAATGTACCCTCGCATAGCAATGCCTCTGCTGGACTTACAACATCTACATTTGGGATACCGAGAACTTCTACTGTATCGGTGCAATATCCATTTATGAGTTTCTGATAAATTGGATTTGGTCTAGTGTAAGACAATGGATCATTTTGATGTGTGATTAACCTTCGCTTTTCCCTGTACAATTTCACAGAATTGCAAAAAACGCAAAACGGTCCGCTTGGTCGTGGAATTTTAGTTGTGGCCAATTCTGACAATTTTAACGATTTCAATCTTTTTGCTAATGACTTTGTATCAGACTTTAAGCGTGTGCTGCTGCTTGGAACATTTTGAGTCTGCACTTGTTCCATATGAGTTTTACTGTTGTACTTTGGAATGCCAAACATTGAAAAATGTCTTCTTAGTCCAAAGTATGGTGTAATAACCCATGTATATTTATTACCAATCTCAATTACCACCTTAGCACTGGAACCTTCTACACAATTTCTTTGACAGGTGTAACCACTACAGTGGTAACACTTTGGGAAAGGTACATTCTCTCCCAACGTTATTACCATGTGCAATCTATAGCACATAGCTTTAAAGCTGACACTAAGCAATTGCAGACATTTTATATCTGGGAATTTAAAATGTACCTTTGAAATCAACTGCAGCCATTTCATTTTCCTAAAATAATACAAAACATTTGTTATCTTCAAACGAAAAATAAGAATATCTTAATGAAAATCCTATAAGATAACAATAACATGATATATCGAAACTTTTTTAATGCGTTATATATTGAGTACAAATGCTTCAGCTATGCCAAGTATTCGATTCTCTCAAGGTTGAATCATTCTTGTCATACCAAAGTCTCAAACGTTTCAATAAAATTTCAATTAATCTCATAAAAGTAGTCATAAATGAAATCAATGTCAATTTGCGCATGTAAAATCATGCGTTTTGAGCATATATTGGTCGCAAGTTTATCGGAATTGTCCGACTTGACATGAATTTGACATAAATCTAACCTGTACTCACCATAGATAATCAGTATCGGATGTTTTCCTCAAGTATTTGCAGGTGCTGCCAAAAGCAATAATGTCAGGTACATCGCAGTATAATAAAATCTTAATCCAAATTTCCTCCGGGAAGACCGCGGGATCCATAATTGTTATTGATAAAAATGATAGAAAAATGTACGATCAACAGTCACTTGTACAGGCCTCAGACACTCCCCAGAATCAGCGAATACGTTAGTCAAGTTCAAGGTTACAATAGCGAACAACGTGAATCAATGTTATTCTCATACGGTGTCATCGTAGAAATTGCTAAATGTCAACGACATACATGTATCGTCGCGTTTGGAACTAGTTCAATTGGAAAAAAATTTAATTTTATTCGTCACAGTTCTTTTCTTATAGATATCGCAATAATTGTGGATGTAGCACGACACCCGCCAAGTCGTATCAAACGGCAATGTGGTTAAGTTACCAGTAGTGTCGAGAGAAATAGCTGCGAAATAATGATATAATTTTGATTGAAATAAATGTAGATGGCGCCACCAAGTAAGCGAATCGCGACCAATCATAATGGAGTATTTTCATGATAATTTTCATCATTCTTCATTGGGATTGGTCGATTTGTGTGTGCATTTTCTGTGTGCGGTGACCCTTCTCTTTTGTTCCATCCCGTGGTTTTAACATATTGCGTGCGCATCCATATGCAGCAGACGACAGTGCATCGTGCGGTTGCGAGGGAGGTGAGTGAGAGCATGGCAAGTGTGATAAGACATGCATTTCGTTTGTCGCGCGATCGCTCGCGTGCTCGTTGATCCACGTATCAAATATTCCGAGTACTCGCTTTGCTTATCGTCGAGCGTCATTTCACGCCCACAGCTAGTGTGCTAGTCATATATTGACCGCCGTTGTTAATCAGTGTTTTCGTTTGCCGGCCGTGCACTTGCAACAGTGATTACGTGAGTATTGCTGCACTTTTTTTCATGTTTTCGCTTTTTTTTCGTCATTGCACGACCCTCTTTTCGCGCCTTTACTTTCGTCGTCGTAAGAACGGAATCGAGCCGGTGCGCATATTCCCGCGCTCTGTTCCGAATCTGTCTTCGGTTCGCCCTTATTCAGCCAAGAATGACATAACGACCCCCGTAATTCTGTAGCACGTGGCCTGACACTGATGCGCCTAGACGCTTTCAATTTGAAAACTTTCTCTACACATACGTCGATATAAATACACAAGCGACAAGTACACACAATATACACGTATTTTTCACTTATTATATTACAAACAAATCAAATTGCACAAGTTATTTAATTTTTGACATTCAACTTGTTTGCTTAGCTTGAAAAAAGTGTCGCAAACATTTTTAAAAAAAGATTCTATGCTTAAAATAACAACATTCTATTTGTTCGACGTTCCAAACTAGTTAGTCATTAAGATGCGGCTATAATCCGAATGATTACATACTTGTATTTATTTCTATTCGTGTCGTGCTGCGAAGTTATTTCCTTCGTAGATAGATAAAGAAATACTGAACTTAATAATATTAAACCATTGTATGTATGTGTGTGTATGCGTCATATCACACTACAAAATATCATTTAACTGTTTTCAACGTAAAGTCACCGAGCGCCTTAATTTATGCCTCCTCATTATACTTGTGATAATTTACCGAATTTACATTTCTTTACTCATTTTAGTCGCAAAATTTTTCCGTCCTTCGTGAATCGTAATCGCGAAGGAATACAAATAGATTTTCGGATAAACTGAGTATTTTTAATTTGTTTTACATTATTTTTTTAGACGTTATTATATATATTATTCTCCATTCACTTTTTACAAAAATAATATAAATTACAAGTAGAAATAGAATAATAAATAAAAGGAAGATGTGTAATACGCACTTTCGTGTTCGCACGAATTATGCCTCTCGGTAGAAAAAAATTCGAAAACGATTGTCTAGGCTTTTTTATAATACTTATCATACTTCATATAAAAATTATAAAAAAATATAAGAATAAATATATAAATAAAAGTAAATACATTTATCAAGATACAAATATATTGCGTTGTTTTAAAAGTTTGTAGCAATTTTTATATGTTTGAAAGGTCCATACGTTGAAAGGTCCAACTTTATTTAATAATATGCATCGTTGCTTTTTTATATTATGCAAAAAATAGATAACAAATGAATGAAAAATAATAAGAGTAGTATTGAAAGGGATAACACGCCACATAGAGCAAATCAATTCGTATGAGTGCTGTCGTGCGACTGATATTAGGGATACTTCAAAACTAAAGATGTTACGCGCAGGCTAAACGCGCGCGCCTAGAAAAAATACATAGGACGGGAATACAGGATAACGCGTCGAAATATATATCATAGCAAGATAGAAAGAAATAGCGGAAGAGTAGAATGCGACGGACGACAGCGCGTACACCGTGCGTACACCAACTTTTAGTACAACGTACATATAGTACAACTTTTCGTGTCGACAAATAGCGATCGTTGTGTATTACAAATATTCGTAAATGCAGTGTGAATCTGAAAGAAATACTGTTTTCGCAATGAAAAATTTACACTCATTGTTAGCATGTAGTTTATAATGATAAGAATATCGAAAATTGCAATTATTCTAATTCGAATGATTTGCGGATTTCAATTAGCTGACCGATAAGTGAAGGTTTAAAGTTTATCATAATAAGTGTTGCAAGTTTGCTTTGCTCTTGCACTTCGCACTTTACTATATCGTTCGAAAGTTTCGAAAATGCATTCTTGATAAACACACACTTTGATTACCAAGAACTCATACATTAAGAATTTAAATTAAATATTTTCACGCGATAAGATAACCGGACGCTATGTATCTGCGATAACAGAAATATAATATCATTTAGCGTCTTTATGTCTCAGCATTTCAATATTATATTTTTTCTTATTTTATAATTTTATTCTAGTTTTCCCAAATCCCTAGAACATTAATTTGATTTGCAATAAAAGATTTTTCGATCGTAATTTTATTGAATGCAATTTTGAATGCAATTTTGAATACTCGCGCCATTAAGAGCATGCAACGCCACCGGTGCATTCACGTTGCGCGATGCGTTTTAGTTTGATCCCTTCACCGCTAGGCGGTTATTATCTTGTACTATGCAGCGATTATTTAACTAAATAATATCAAAATTTGTATTAAAAAGCCTTATCAACTTCTAATAATTGACATATGTAACAATTAATGTCTAAAGTTTATTATCGAAGCTAATTGCAATGATTTGAAGGACAGAAATGGAGCTTAGAATAACAGTGCAACGTCACAGTGTTTCTCGATAGCGCTCCTATGCAGTTTACTTTGTATATAAGGATGGAACATAGCAGTTACTGTCGGGTAGTCTGATGCTTCCCAGGTAAACTACGTACTCGCGTATATGCGGCCTTCGCTTTCTATACGATGTCTCTGTTCAGCATCATATTCCAGTACTCACGTTCAGTTCGAAAACCACGTGCGTACAGGTTTTAAAACCCTACCAAAAAAAAATCGGGTCGGTATTGCTTGTTTGTGCTAGGAAAAAAACCAACTGAGGAAGTGAAGTTTGACTATCTCTTTTGCAAAATTGTACAATTTTATTTTTTCAACGTTGATTTAATAGCAACAGTGAAAGGTGTATCGTAATTGCATAATTCAATAAATTTCATCTTTTCATAATTCAATAAACTTGAGTCTTTCATCGATATGGTCCACAGATCGAATTATTTTACATAGAAAATTGCGAGTGTTGCGTTTCAAAGCAAAAGAGAACATTGACCGAGGATGTATTGAATGAGGATAAAAAAGCTTGAAATTGAGGTGTGTACGACTGATTTAGGATCCGACAGTGACCACGACATCAGACTCAGTCACGAGTAACGTAATGCACAAGTGAAAAAAGGTACAAGAAAGCGAGAAAGAGAAAGAGAGAGGGGCTGAGAGACGGCAGAGAAACCGGCTGAATCGTTGACGTGACTCTCTTGCATTTTATCGAAGGAGCGTGCGTGACGCGTTTACGTGTACGTCCGTGATTACTAATCATCGACAAGCCGTGCATCGCTCGTTTTTTCACGACTTCGGAACTATGCATTATTTCATAGTAATGTTGTAAGAGTGAAAAACAAGTCGGCGGATATCGGATACACTCGATTGTATGAAATTGTAAAATTCTTTGTACGACATTATTCAATTATCGTTATATATAACATCTTGTATATTATTATCAAGCTGGTACAAATTTGAGGAGGATCCGAATCGATTCACGGAGATGAAGGATACGAATGGAAATGCGGAAGGAGGTGCAAATAAGAATGCGGAGGTATTTGCGAATAAACGAGAGACGCCGGAAGGTTCCGTTCAAGATTCATCACTAGAGATGGAACAGTCGGATCCCGGACGGAGAACAAGTATTTTCAAGTATTACTCCTATAAGAATACAGGTGAGTATTTTAAACACCGTGTGTTACGATATACAGCGATATGAAACGGTAAACCTCGTATTTGCTCAGAACATCGGACGCGATAGTGCAAGTTAATGAATGGCGCAAAGTTCAAGAATTTAGTATTGCGTTTAATTTAAAGAAACGTTTCTTCATTTTTAGAAATTCTCAGTGTTTCTTTTTTTTAATCCTAAAAATTTTGCTCTAAGAAACAATGTACTGACAATGAGTTATTAAACGAGTTGGTTAGTTTTTCTTTCTCACGAAAATAAAATTTAAAAAACGAGGTCCTTTAAAAATTAATGTCAATTTTACTAATTACTTGATAAAATTTGTGAAATTTAATCAAACAATTACCAAACTTGTCAACGATAATATTTTGTGTAAACGCAATTCTGAAATCAATTTTTAGTATGATAAAACGTAATATTCTGGACTTTAGACATTGCTGGTTCGATGATGATCGAATGTGAAGATAAGAATAATGGCACGGCCTTTAAATTTAATTCATGTAGTCGAGACTGGAGCTCATTATCACTTGAATTTTTTTTATTACAATTTCTTATGAATAATACGAAGGCTATATCTTTATGCACATTGACTCAAAGACAACTTAAGATTCGATTTCTATCTTGAGTGAAATAAACACACTTTGTCATTAGTTTGCTCATTTATCAATCATGTATCGTAATGACCGTTTCGTGATAGAAGCATCGAAGGCAATGTGTCAGCATTTTATTGAGTTGAAACTAAATTGAACTTTATATAACGACTTAATGAGTCCCAAGTTTCATACTTCTTTTTTACACAATTAAAGATTTCATAAAGCTAGTATATCTTTTTATTTTTATTATCTATAACAATGCTGCTAAATAAGAATTTTCTTTATTTATTTCAATTTGAAAAATTGAAATGCATTTTATTTTGAAGATTACTATTAATTTAGAAAAAATTTAGAGAAAGACTTGTACTGTTAAAATTCTTTAAAGATTGTGCAGTATAAATGCACAAGTGTCAATGTTTTTACGGTCACGATATTGTTAACTTCGCCAAAAATATGATAGTGCACAAACACGTGCCGTATCGTATGATATAAAATTACTGCACGTTTCGATCGAAGAATAAGAAATAAATCATCAAAAATATTTCAGTGATACATATTGAAACTTGTTATTTGCGTTGCATTTGTTAACTGTTGATTCAACTAATATTTTTATTAAACTTTCTATCGATAACTTAGTTTTGAAATTATGTCAACGCTCCGATTTGTCATGCTCAGCTTTTTTCAAAATTTAGACGAGGCAACGAATTATACACGTATTTTCAATTGGTTCAAAATTGTCTATTTTATTGGAATGCAAATAGATGAAACAATTTATTAATGATTTCAATGGTGGAAATATATTTATTTTATTTTTTTCACTTTTTCCGCGACTTTTTCCTTATGTAAAGAAAAAAAATAGCAAAGACATCGAGTTACAAAAATTCGCACCGATCAGCATTGAGAAAGAAAGTGTCATTTTTTATATGATACGATATCAGCATGATACAAATTCATCAACATAATACGAAATATCAAAAGGCAGCATTATATCGTCATCGTTGTCAGACGAAAAGATGTATATACAGAACGTAAGCAACGTTATCACATTTTATAACGGATAAACGTCGCAAGAAAGTAGGAGGGGACCGATGAGCCTACCCGAGGAACGAATGGTATTTCTCGTACGTTTGACGCAAATAGCTTTAAAAAAGCGATCGTTCGGTTTACTTGTCAGTTTGAAATTTGAAACAAGTTCACGCAAGGAATAATTAGAAAGCCAAAGTAGATACCACAGTGATAGTGCTCGTAGTACAATTGCATTCGTACAGTCGAGTGGCAAACAAGTAATTTTTTTACTTGAAAAGTTAACGATAGAAACGTAAAGCCTCTCAGATAAAGATTACTGTTAATTTAGAAAAAATTTAGAAAAAAGGACTTGTACTGTTAAAGTTCTTTAAAGATCGTGCAATTAAATTATTTTTCCATAGCTATAAATAATCTAAAATTTTTGAAATAATTTGGAAAAAATTAAGAGAAGGAAAGAGAGAGAGAAACACATTTTTGTAACATACTTAATAATAAATATTTTATCATCTATTTTTATTATGTTTTTTATTTTTATTATATTTTTCTACAATCGCGTATGCATAGAAGGATCATTGTTTCTCTTTTCTTACGATTTTTATCGCATATAGATTAAGATTAAAAAATCAATTTTTTCTTTTTTTTCAGAGAAAATTCCAAGTATAATGAAAAAAACGGGGCCTCTTGTTGGCGTGATTGATGTTGGTACACGAACTGTTCGCTTTGTGGTGAGATTATCATACATGTTCGCCCGAATACCGTTATCAATGCTATAATTTTCCAAGCTTCGAAATGTTTACCGAAATTCATCCCGAAATCTCGATAGTGCTCGTAACGCGATAAGTAATCGTTACATCGGAAGTAGAAAGATAGCATTTATAATATGATTAATTGCGATTTAGATCTCACTTGACAACATTTATCTACAGCAATGAACATTGATTTTGATAAATAACGATAAGTTTTACAAATAGATTTTTGTGAGATATATACGTGAGAGAGGCTCAGTAACGATTAACAAAAAATACGAATACATATAATTAATAATATTTTAATATCGGAAATTAAAGATGCGCGTGTCATTATTCCTGATTATGAACAATCTTAAAATATTTTATCTTTTAACTTTTTACGAATGGGGAAGTTTTGGAGTGTAAACATCAGTCAAGATAGGACAAACAGTTACTATACGATAGACAAGATAACAATTTCAAACATACTATTAAAATGTCTTTTATGATGAACAATTGCATTTCGATGCATAACTAAACACACGGCCGGTGACAATTTCTCGACGCATCGAAAACAGTAAAAGTATGTTATCGAGAATATCCCGATACACGTAAAGGATCAATGAATCATGCACATCTCTCGACAACGAATATAATTCTTATGAAAATAAATTCCAATCACACAAATGCCAATTTAGCGGTTTTCAATTGAATTGTATTCACAGGTGTTTAATGCAAAACACGTCGCGGAGGTTGCATCTCATCAGATAGACATAGAACAAATCAGTCCACAAGAGGGATGGGTCGAGCAGGATCCCAAAGAGATCCTTTTTGCAGTAAAAGCCTGTATCAAGGATGTAATTCGCAAATTAGACGAATTCGGGATGACGATCAGCGAAATTGTCACAGTGGGTATTACCAATCAAAGAGAAACGACGATAGCTTGGGATGCGATTACCGGCGATTCTCTTTATAACGCCATAGGTGGGTAAAGTCTCGCTTTCTTTTATGTACGAGAGGAAATTATTTTCTTTAGTATGAAAAGTCTAGTGAAAATTTTTGAAACATGTAAAGCGCTCGAGTCAAGTGTCTCTTGATTAATTTATTTCAAATAATAATTGGATAGAATATTCCGAAATAGGTTTCTTCGAGAATCAAGTTACGAAATATGAAAAGTGAAAACTAAAAGTTAATGCATCATATATTTAACCAATTCCTGAAACAGATTTTAATGATTTTAGTGTGGTCCGACATAAGAACCGATACGATCGTGGATCAGATTATAGCCAAGTTTCCGGATCAAAGTAAGAATCACCTGAAACCACTGTGTGGTTTGCCTGTAAGTCCGTACTTTTCCGCTTTAAAGATCTGCTGGTTGAAAAATAATGTACCGGCTGTCAGAAAAGCAATTCGCGAGAAACGATGCAAAGTGGGAACCATGGATACATGGATCGTTTGGGTATGTGATAAAAAACTATAATAGTGAAATATAAATATGAATATAATAATTAGCAGGTATACTATTCACAAACACTGATATACTCAACAAGTATATTGATTAACAATGTGCGACGAATTACATGTTCATTCTGTTGTTTATCCGTTAATTCAATGTTTGTTATACAACCTGAGCACGAATAAAATTTAACATATATAACAAGTGGAAATTATTATTCAAATATAGTTTATGTAAAGTATAATTTAACGTAATAATTTATACAAATTACAATTTAATCGAGGAATTAGCATACAAATCCTTGGTCATCAATTTGTAACAAAACTAAAATTTTAACTTTGCAGCGAGATGAACTACGCAAGCACGTGAACGTACAAACTAATTATAATAAGTAATTTGTTGCAGAACTTAACGGGAGGCAAAGATGGGGGACTTTACATCACTGATGTAACAAACGCCTCCAGGACGATGTTAATGAATATAGAAACACTCTCCTGGGATCCCACATTATGCAGGTATTTCGACATTTCTATGCAAATGTTGCCGGAGATCAGGAGCAGCTCCGAAATATACGGCAAAATTTCGTTCGAACCACTGTCCGGCATTCCTATATCCGGTGTACGTAAAATTTTGCAATAAAAATGCCAAATATAGAATATGCATTTATATTCGATTTTTTTTTCTATCAGATTTTAGGAAATCAACAATCAGCTTTGGTCGGGCAAAATTGCTTGAAAAAGGGACAAGCGAAAAATACCTACAGAAGTGGTTGCTTCTTGCTATGTAATACAGGATGCACTGTATGTAATTCTCGATTATTCATAAACACATAGCCGATTAGACCAGTTTTATTTTATTGACACTTTTTTTATCTAACGTCGAGATCATTATTATTATTATTATTCATTTGTTTAATATTTTTTTCAGAGGGTGTACTCTTCTCACGGGTTGGTTACAACGGTCGCATATCAATTAGGTCCGAAGAGCCCACCTGTCTACGCATTGGAAGGTTCGATCGCCGTCGCAGGTGCCGCAATTAAATGGCTACGGGACAACATGAAACTTATAAAAGATGTCCATGAATGTGAACACTTGGCACAAAGCGTATTTAGCACAGGAGATGTTTATTTTGTGCCAGCTTTTACGGGATTATATGCACCTTACTGGAGAAAAGATGCTAGAGGGTAAGTAGAACTGCAAAAGTTATTTGGATTATTTTTTGATCCTTCTTTGTTATTCTATAGCTGTAAAGATTATAGAAACTAAATTTATCTAAAGATTGTTTTTTTTTTATTAGAAGTGTTTAATTCCAAATTATATTATTTAACAAATATATAATTAATTAATATAATAGTTACATGATGTACGAAAATGTCATTCTTTTTTTCCAGAATAATTTGTGGACTTACTGCATTCACTACAAAGCAACACATAATAAGGGCGTCCCTTGAGGCGGTTTGTTTTCAAACCAGAGATATCCTCGAGGCGATGTACAAAGATTGCGGATTTCCTTTAACAAAATTAAATACAGACGGGAAAATGTCAACTAACAACCTTCTCATGCAATTACAGGCCGACTTGTGCGGAACACCAGTATGTAAGTAATATTGGTCATAAATGACGAGATTTATAAACAAAATCAACTAAAAAGAGCGATGTTTTATTTTCATCTTTCATATGGTTTAGGAAACTGTTAATCAACTGTTTTTATTGTGACGAATATATATAGTTAGATCGACCATGCCCGATATCACGGCCCTAGGTGTTGCAATGGCTGCAGGACATGCCGAAGGGATAGATGTTTGGGATCTGGAAGGTGAGGAAGTAGAAACAGTGCCAACCGATACTTTTCTGCCAACTACCACTCCAGAAGGTACAAACTTTTTTTAAAATAAATGACTCAAACTTTTCATGGCTTTATTTTTTATAAATATTATGTAACTTGTCGTAAAACTTTTTTTTAGAGAGAGACGCAAGATATAAGAAATGGAAAATGGCTGTGGAAAGGAGCTTAGGTTGGGCGGCAGTAAAAATGTCTGATCAAATGACAGGTAAATTTAAAATCGCAGAACAAGCGAAATCTGAGATGCCTGGTGTAATTGAAGCTGCTCTTTTTAAATACTCGTCGCAATCTGCTTAATAGCAACTCTCTGAATTCCTATTTTCTGCACGCGTTGTTATATATGTATATATGTTTTTGTGTATATTTTTGTAATTTAAAATACACATGCAACATATACACGTGCGCGCACTCAGCGTACGCTTCCAAACTCTTATTTTCTCTTTAATAAGATTTTTCTGTCTGTCGTAGTGTGTTTGTCGTCTTATGAGTGTTTATTTGGTATGGTTTTCTCTGTTTCTTTCCTTTCTGTACTTTCCTTTCTATCTTTCCTTTCTACTGTGTTGTTTCTTGTCTAATTATTATTTCACTATATGTATTTGTATATATGTTATAAATAAAAGTTGATTTTAATTTTATCTTTCTATGTTTATTATGAAATGTAGATGTGTGTCCACACACACAATTAATGTGTTAACATATTATTATATTATGCTTATATGTGTAACAAATATAACTCTTTTTTTATCCACTGACTTTCTCTTATTTCTGCAATCTTGCACTTAAATATACATAATATTTATGCTATTAATAATACTTTTGTTATTTCCTTGATGTTTCAGATGAAAGATATTGCATACTGGCATCTATTCCTGCTAGCTGGTTTCTATTGTCGAGCTTTGTTCTATTACGAATAAGTCATTATTTAGCAAATCGGTGACGACAAATTAGCATTATTGAAGCGCAAATTACCTTAAACGGCAGGTAGCCCTGATCGCAGTCCAGAAGAGTTTAGCAAAGTGACCTATCAAGTTTACCGACTCGTGTACGTCGGTGCATGAACACGAGTATTGCGAAATAATCAGATAAAATTGTCTCAGATTTTAAATATATTTCATTTATTATTTAATCTTGATCAACTTCACGTTTAGTAATTGCAGTGAGTGCATCCGATATCTGATTTTTGAGTTTGCAAATTAATAATTGGAGCAAATAAGGTGCTATATACTTTCTAATATAATTTTAAATCTTATAAAATGATATTGGAGATATTTTTAATTCACTTTATCACGCGCATATGGATTCATTTTTTATCATTATTTATTGTAAAAGCCAATGTATCACAATCAAATTACATGTATCATAAAACACAAAATAGATATTTCTTGTTGATGTGCGATTTTACTCCCTTTGTATTCCCACCATATAACACATTCCTATATTAATTCCTATTAATAATGAATATTGGAAAAACAATTGTGGTGAGCACACGCACATACAAAGATTGTGAATTTTATTTCAGTGAACGTAATTACTATTCAACAAAATAATGTAAATTTTTATTAGACAGGATGTTACAAAAGTTGGAATATGTTTTCGAAAAATTGTCAAACTTATCAATGGAATATATTTCGGTAAGAAGTTAAACTGGATAAAGAAATTTCAAATACGATATATTTTCATAGATTTCTATATTGTTTTCTATCGCTGTTGGCTTTATGTTTTTTAGCAAGTTTTGTAATCCTACAAAGCTAATTTTCCTCTAATTTTTCAATGTATATAAATGTAGTTACTGTGATATAGAAAATAATTATTATAATAACAGTTTATTGAAGACAAGTTTAATAATATATCTTATATTATACCACACACACAACGTGTCATAATTAAAAAAAAAAGATTATGAAACGTTATGCCTTATTTAAATTAAAAATTAAATTAAATTTTGTTAATAAAAAATAAAAGTGAAGTGTTTCAATCTAGTAAAAAGGTATGCCATATGGTACCCGTTCATTTAAAAAAATTATTATTTTCTGAAAAATCAATAAAAAAATAAAGTTCCGACGCTTGCGTTTTAAATCTGGTGGTGTGCACGATAGGCAGAACGTTGTTCATTTTAGTTGCATTTTTAGCTTATTTATTTTTCTTAAATATAACAAATGTAAATAATAATAATATTGATAATGTTATTATTACTCTTTGATTTTTTAAATGTTTCTTTATTTTTGTAGTAGTCCAAATTTGATTGTGCGGTTCAGTCACCCTTACAGGTAGTTCCTTATTTTTCGGCATACATGATTAGTAGCGCTTTAGTTGACGGTCATTTTTTCAATAGAGAATTACCATCTTCTGAATTGAACATTCCTTGACATAACCTACAAAGTTTAGCGGTGTTTCTCTAAACTGCTCTAAACTATCAATAACATTTTTTATATTAAATATAATATTACTAACTAAAATTTAAAAAAATAGAAAACGATCATGGCAGTAGTGATAGAAACTACAATAGGAGATTTCACGATAGATCTCTATACCGATGAGCGTCCTCAGAGTGAGTAATCTTTTTGTCGTACAATTGAAAAAAATCTGTTTTGTATATATTTACCATTAATTTGTAAATTAAGTAATTTATACATTAGGTATTTTAAATAAATATATACAAATATAAGTATTTGAAGTTTGTATCACAAATTTATATTATAGAAATGTCATGCTTATTTTTATAGCTGCACGAAATTTCCTGAAATTATGCAAACTAAAGTATTACAACTGGAATCTCTTTCATTCGGTGCAAACCAATTTTATCGCGCAGACTGGAGATCCTACTGGCACTGGAAAAGGTGGAGAGAGCATATATGAATTATACTTGGCGAGAAGGCACGTTACTATGAAGCTGAACAGATGCCAAAAATTAAACATAGCAGAATAGGTTTGTTGTCTATGGTGAATTGTGGGAACAATATGCTGGGATCTCAATTCTTTATTACACTGGGATCAGAGCTTCAATCCTTGGATAATGAACATTGTGTATTTGGAGAGATTACAGAGGGATTGGAAGTTATTTTGAAAAATTTAATGAAACTATCTGTGACAGCGATCATAGACCTTATCAAGACATAAGAATATCTCACACGGTCATTCTGGAAGATCCTTTTGATGACCCTATAGGATTTATAATTCCAGACAGAAGTCCGGAACCTACAAAAGAAGCTTTAATGGTATGTCACGTTGAAAAATAGGCTAGCTAAAATTTCTTTTTATTTATTAATTATATTTTTATTTTTTCTGTTTATTGCCCTTATATTTTATCTTGTTTTTGTTTAGAGCGATAGAATTGGAGCAGACGAAGCAATTGACGATACAGCAGGCATGACCGCAGAAGAGATTATAGAAATGCAAAGGGACAAGGAAGCAAAAGCAAGAGCCACGATATTGGAAATTGTGGGTGATATACCAGACGCGGAAATTGCACCACCGGAAAATGTTTTATTTGTATGTAAATTGAATCCAGTCACGAACGATGACGATCTCGAAATTATCTTTAGTCGTTTCGGAAAAATTGTTGGGTATGTAAATTGTTTTAGTTTCATAATAATTATTACATCTATTAATATAACTTTGTATTATTTTATATTATATTAATTTATACATTTCTTTATTTTATTTAATACGCATCTATCAATTGTTTTGTGATACATGTTTGTTCATTGTTATAATTTGTTAACTCTTTCAGTTGCGAAGTTATAAGGGATCATCAAACGGGAGACTCTCTGCAATATGCGTTTATCGAGTTTGCCGATCGTAAAAGTTGCGAAGAAGCATACTTTAAGATGGACAACGTTTTGATTGACGACCGAAGGATACATGTGGACTTTTCACAGTCAGTTGCGAAGATGCGTTGGCGAGGCAAGGGAAAGGGTATTCGATACTTGGATGAAGATGAGAAATCGAAAAAACATGAAGAGAGCTTGTCTTCTTCAAAGAAACGCGATGTGTCGCGCGGAAAAGATTATAGTAATAGCAAAAATAGAGAAGAAGGAAGAAAAAAGGAAAGCGAAAGAGATCGCGCTCCTGAATTTCCTGAATACAGGAAGCATGAACGCAAAAAAGAAGATAAAAGCAAAGATAGAAAGAAGGAAAACAGATCGTACGATGATTATTATGAGAAAAACAAGTATGACGAACGAAGAGATAGAAGAAGAAAAGAGGAACGACGGGACAGGACCAGGCACAGTGATCAGAGAAGAGATCAAAGCAAAGACAGATCGGAAAGAAGAAGCAAAAGGGACGATTATAGTGATAGGGATCGACATCGCGATAACGAGAAGAAAAGGCCCTCGGAAGACGAAGACAGGTACAAGAATAAATCACACAAGCATAAGAGAAAACGGTGAAAAAAAGAAAATATTAGGTGTATTCGGTTAATTCTAATAAAAAAATATTCAAGATATTAAAAAAAGATACGTCTTGTTGTTACAAACGTTGAAGATAAGTTAGAAATGAGAGATAATTAAGTGTGTGAGCGTGCGTATCCAAAATCTATATTATATCTAAAATATTGATATTCGAATATACGAGTTTACCGAAAAGCTCAAACGGTATATATTTTGAGAATGAAAATCAGTTGAACCTCGAGTTATTCAGACAACTAAAATATTGGTATTATTAGACATGCAAATAGATTCATTGATTAGTTAATAGATCGATTGAAAAACCATAAATCTTTTCTTATTTGTGTATGCCGGGAAACGAAAATTCGTACAATGCATAGTTTACAAGAAGGACTATAATGCAAACCTTTTTACATCAAGTAAAATTGCCAGTACATTCTTTCGAATATCAAAATGTTGAAAATAACATTGACGTCAATCGGCAATCTTGTTCGAAGCACCGATTGCGATAGACGTGTTTTCTTTCGCAGTTTCGATCGATAGAATAGATTTTCGCAAGGCACTGGAAATTCTACAAATTCTACTGCTGCTTACAGTAAAGCTATCGAAACCACAGACTTCATTTGATCAATAAAATGTAAAGTCTCAACGGAGTAAAATCGCGACATCGCATAATAAATTTGACGATGAACAATCGGTTATCGCGGAGCAAACGACCGTATCAAAAATAGAGAGCAGAAACGATCTGACAGTGCTATATTCGAGCCCTGCCATTCGATTTAAAAGGAGTTGAATCTCTCACGAAATTTACGCTTTCGTGAGACTCGAAATCTCGCTTTAATTCGCGCGCGCGCACACAAGAGGAGCGTAAGCGAGCGCTATACTTGGAAATAATATATAGGAACGACACTTTACGCGGATACATAGAGGTAATAGCCACGTAGCTCTCACAAGGATGCTCTTAGCTTCTTTGGTGACGTCGCATTTGGTATTCTTGCATGTGTGGAAGATACACCGATCCGCTCTCATTTCGCGATATCGCTTCACTATGTGTCTCTTGTCGTAACAATTAAGAGAGGAAAAAATCGAAAACAAAGTCAATGGAAAAAAATGGGACTCTAATTGATAATTTTTCTGATGCTAGATTAAAAAGAGTAGAATACGGCGGAGGTGTATTTCCGAATCGTTGAATGCAAGATTATCAACATCATCATCACCTTACTTCGTTCAGCAATCTTGTATCGGGATTCGTTCATTTTAATATTGCTCCAAAAGAACGCGTATCCTCGTATGAATCCTTCGCTTTCAATTCGAGGATCGACACTGCTGATTACAAACTTCGTACCATTTCATGGGATACGTCTCCCAGTTATTCATACGCTTATTTTTAGAGAGCTCTATCCTACAATGCGTGCCGTAGCTTTGCTACATCACAATCGGCGTATCCGTATGTTAAAATTCGAAAGAAAACTCAATTTAGCTGCGCTGTTATTACGTAATTGAGGAAAGGGGAGTAGAGCTATGCATAAAGCGCGTACGCGTGCGTATATATTAAATAACTAATTCCAAAATATAACACAAATAAATACGGTAAATTATATTAAGAAACATTTGTAATATATATAAATCGTAGCACGCGCGCGCGGATAAATAGTTTTATACTTTGGCGTTCTTAGTTTGTCACTTCGTTTTTTTTTCTTTTTTCTTTTGTATAAGCGTGGAAAGACCATCTTAATCATCATTCGCCCTGAAAAATAACATTAAAACAGCGCGATAAAAGAAATATTACGAGCCTATAAATCTACATAATCTAAAAAAGATTAATATATAATCTTCTCTAGTAAAGCTACGCACAAAGCTATGCGAAAAGAAGTATTGTCTATCGAATCATGTGTGCGCGTTATGTATTTCTGTACGCGAGTATATACGGGAACGAACTGCGAGGACAAAAAGAGGTGCATCAACAGATTTCATCCTCATGTTTCAATCTCTCTCTTGCTTATCCGAATCTTGATTTAATTATCAATTCGGGCCAAATGTAATCGCAAGTCAAGTTGATCCCACCGTTTCTTTTTCTTTTCGGTTTACAGGAGAAAGATAAAGATGCATAAAAAAGGGGGGGATTCGTAGGTCACGCGCGAGACGACTCACGAAAGAGGCACTTTGCACGAGGAATATCTCTCGTATAAGGCCGCCGTAGGCGCAAAACGCGACTGGGGAAGACGACAATTCTTCTTTCCTATTCTAAAAGAGTTACTTTGGTAATGACTAGGTCATACACTACTTCGCTACGTTAGTTCGAATCGTAGTTGTTCGTATCCGGTTATGGCCTGCGAGTGGCTTACTCGATAAATAGTAATCGTAATGGCGCGACATAAAACTAGGCACTTATTATCGTCATGGCCGTTTTTACATCGCGGTGCTGACCCTTAACATAATTCGCTGTTGCAACAAGACTGATGCGAACGTTGTCTGACGATAGAAACTTGTTTCGCGAACTTGTACTTGTTCGGTATATCAACTCGCATGGTCCTCATGCCTACGTTTATGGCCGTCGAATCTCGTCTCGACGAATTTTCATAAGAACTGAATCATTGAACCACCTTGTGCGGTACTTTGAAATGCGAACGGTTCAACAGTCGAGTGTTTTGAGTGGAAACAAGTCATTTTTCAGTTTCACAATTTAACGTGAAATTAATTTTACGAATGAATGCGGTAATTAAATGTGTTCTTTTAAAAATTATCGATGGAGAGACACGATTGAGTCCCGTGTCAAGTTGCAGCAAACAGTATCTCCAGTTGTATCTACTTAACACATTCATCGCCAAGCGTATTCTACTTAATTTTCCATTCACGCCATTTATTTCTTTCATATCCAAGATCAATAAATAATTATTTATAAAATTTTAATAGATAAAAGTATTAATTTGTTCGCAATACATTTTGCTCGTTACGCTTTTCCGCTATTATTAAACATAGTCGTCGTATTGTTATAAACGTAAGTAAAGGCGTGTTGTAAACACATTACGTCTTGTCGGGTAACGATAACTATCGATGGCAATGAATGTGTTAAGAGCATCTGAAATTACCGATTTCTAGTAATACATACAGTACCGATCGAATCTCTAATAAGCTCGACGTCGGATTTTCACACAACGATTCAAACGTCTTAAATTACAAAGTGAAATTTAGACTCAAGATCCGTTTATCGAATCCGTGTATCGCGCGTCTGAAGACCAGCTTTAGTATTTCTTGACCAAAATGTGCGCGATGCACGTGAATCAGAATTGAATACGATAATTGGGACGCGGTATCGATCTTGCCTTGGTTGGTGGCAGGGAAGCTGTCGACGCTTCGCTGCTGGCAGTACCGCCGGAATCGCGGGCTCCACCGCTCTTGCTGCTCACGATACTGCCGGTGCTCTGTCCTCGGGACGAACCTCCCGCACCTATTTGTTTCCTCAATGTGTTGCCGCCTACCTTGATGACGGAGGACTCGCCATCGCTGAGGCGGCCGTACTCACCGATGCGAGTACGAGACGACGGCGGTGGCGGTATGAACGAGCGACTCTGAATTTCCCTGTGCTTCACCGGTGACTCTGACATGTAATTACCACCAATTAGTGATTTCTTTCGATTGCTGCCGGTCGTGATGTCGGTTTGCAGTCTCTCGTATTCGTGACCGCTGCCACCACCCGTCAGTCCCGACGATGACGATTTCTTCAGCGAGTTGTTCATGAAACTCTCGACAGAATTTTTCTTCTTGTTGCGCGACGCCTTAGCGACTGCGGCGGCAGCGTCGAATCTACCGTACTCGATGCTACTGCAATTGCCGGAGGAATCGCGCATCGACTTGACGGCGCCGCTCGTCGCAGACGACGCGTTCAGCATACCCGGTCCGGGATCCGATTTCTTACGCGTCTCCGTGTCGCTGAGTCGACAGTAACGGGAATTGCCGCTAGTCGCCTTCAGCATCCTCGGTGGTCTTGGTAACGAGCTGGGCGGTAGACTGCCAGCGCGACGCGGCTCCCCGCCGTCCTCCACCGTCATCCGCTGTCGCTGTGAGCTTCTGCCCTGCTTCTCGAGCAGCATCATGTCCTCAGTCGGTTTGCCACCACCGCCGGCACCGTCCGACAATCGGGAGATAGTGCCCTGCAGTCTGGCCGCCGCGAACTCGATTATACTCGGCGACATCACATCGCCGCCGCTGCCGGATGAATCATCTAACAGTCGACTCTTGCTCGAGGCTGTGCTCGAGGTACCTGTGCTATCTACACCCGCCAGTAGTGGCTTGGGTATTTTTCCTTTTCGCGACGCAGTGCCTGGATTAGAGAATCCTGGAAAACAGCAAAGTGCCCGCTGAAACAAGAAAGAAAGAACGCACGGGTTGCAGATAGGAGGCCGGGACCTGGAAAAGGGTTAGTGCTCGCCGTATAAAACGCTCGCACATGCACATTCGAGGATACTTTGGGACGAAAGGTACGTGGGTGGAGAAGGATTAGTGGCACTTTGAAAGAAAAACCACAAAAAAAGATGATTAATTTGTAAAACGAGAGATCTATTTTGGCTATCTACTCTAGCATCATTTTGACAAACAGTTAAGACACATTAGAATCTACATTATTAAAAAAGAAAACTTATGACACGCACATTTGTGTGAAAGTGACAAAAGTTATTTCAAGTAAGTAATCTTGATGTGAAAAAAAAGAAGAAAAATAAAATTAAACTGTGTTAAGTCACACTGTTATGTAATTAATATCAACCAAATAACTCTAATCAGAAAACAGTCAATATGTAACGTTTCTCGTTGAAATATTTCATTCAAAAACAATGAATTGTTTAAACTATCCAAATCACTTTCTTCTCATTTGTTATAAACAGTTTGTTTTTGAAACGTGCATACTAACTGTTCTCAAGAAAAACTCAACTCATTCACTGTCAATGCCAAATAATACTTTATTCTTACTTGCATTAAATAAATCAATAAAAAAAGTGAAGGAAAGAAAACGAAAAATAATAAAAGATACTCTAGAAGAGTTATACAACAGCAACACAAGAATACCTTCAAACGTGTGATCTGTAATATTTTCATGATTCAGCGGCGAGACTATTAAAATGTTGCTAAAGAACTCAAAATACGATCATCCGAAAAATAAACGTATTTCTATTAATAAAAAAAAGATAAATTAATTATATTAATATAAACAAAATGTGAAATATTAATGCAAATAAAGTCGCATGTATGAGAAGCGCGCGAAATAAAGTTCGCGCGAATAAAATGTAACGGAACATCGTGATTGATTCGAGACTCTCTGAAAATTAACCAGCTGAACGCAAAGTGAAACAATTGCATGTTACATAAAACGCTACTATCTCGTTTATTTTCTATTTACCTTGCTAAGCAGCTGCGAGTCTAGCTCTTTCAGTTGATCGTCGAGACTCTTATTAGTCTGCTCAAAGCTGCTCTGCTTTCTATATTTATAACTGTCAGTGACACCGTAAGAACCGGTGCTGCCATAACCGCTTCCACTGCCAAGTACACTGCTCACTTTTCGAGAAAAAGAAAGAAAGAGAAATTACTATAAATGTGTCAATAAATTATATCATATCTATAAATACAAAAACGTTACGTTCAACGGAACGGTTGATCGAGTTAACGTTTAACGATATGTCGCGTTGAATACGGTTCTTTTTACCGAGTTCCGGCGTGCTTGTCAATGTGGTGTGATGATCCGCCGACGTACTTGAATGAGACGAATGTACAGCGGGATAGCTGCCTACACCGCTGCTGCTACTGCTATCTGCTTTATCGTACGTGTGCTTCTGCAGCACTCTGATCATAGCATCTCTCTCAGCCAACTTGGATTCCAAATCTTTCATCCTGTTTGTCGAATCAGAAACGTTGATGACATTTGCGACCGATCGATTTGAGATAACTGCGTCACTATTAATCTAACAATAAATTTTTTTTACCTAGACTCAAGGTCGGCCAGCTTCTTTTGCGCGGCGTGTACCTCGTCCATGTGTCTCATCTTCTCCGAGCGGGCCTCGGCAATTAATTTCTCCGCGTCCTGACTCGTCTTTTCCAGTGCAGCGATTTTTGCGTCCCTGATGTCAGAGAGAAAGAGAGAGAACGTGAGGAACGAGCGTAATGAAAGACGAGCGGATTCTACTCACTTTGGCAGACTGGCTGCGTCGATAGCCGCTTGCCTCAGTGCACTCTCCTCGAGATAACGTTGCTCCCACTTGGTAACGTCGCCCTCGAGCGACATAATCTTTTCGTCTCGTTCGCGCAATCGTCGTTTTAAATCCGCAATGGTCTCGCCATTCGATGTCTGTTCGTTGCCGTTACCACCACCTCCACCGCCCTCGCGCAACTCCCTCTCCAACTGACCCCGCAATTGTCTTTCGGTTTCTTCTCGTCTATCGCTAGACGCTTGAAGCGAAGATAAAGCCCGCTGCAGTTGAGCCACTCTCTCCACGTACACTTGTTTCTTGCGACACTGTATAGACGAAGAAGCTCAATAATCAATGATCCGAGATAAATATAATATCGTTTGACTAGTTAAACTGACTGATCAATTTACCTCTTCTTCGAGACGCACGACATTGCCTTGTGCGTTAGTCAACGCGGTGTCCAGAATGTCAATGTGCGTACGTTGCTCCTGTAAAGTGGCCCGCTGGGCGGCCAGCTCGATCTCCTGTCTCTCTTTCGCAGCGCTTAATTCTTTACCTACAAATACAGGAAAACGTAACAATGATGAAGATAAAAAAAATAAAAAAAATAAAAAAAAAACAACACTGAAATTGAAATAAAAGTCGTACTGCTCGTAATGAGCTGTCCGATTAGCAGCTCGCGCTGTGTCAATTCCTTCCGCATATTCTCGACAATCGGCGGACTGTCTGTACGTGCGGACAGTATATCGGCCTGGTCTCTCAGTGCGCGATTCAACTCGTTCAATCGACGACATTCGTTCTGCAGCTTTATACGGGCGGCGCGCTCCAGTTTTTCCCGTCGCTCGCAAGATGCCGCGAGCTCCTCGTGAGCGCGATGAACCTTGGCGATCTCCTGCTCCAACTTCTGCGATTTGGCGACCTTGTTGTAGCATCGCTCCAATTCCAACTTCAACGCGCTGTTCTCGTGGATAATCTGCACCACGTCCGACGACGGCCATATTTCGCCCGTCTTTCTCTCTACTTCCTCGCGTCCTTTAGTCTGAGGTCTGCAATTTAATTTGATTCTGCATCAGAGATTGTACTTTGTGATTGGCGCGCAACACACATGGAGAACGTTAAATTTTACCGAGGTGAAGTCGTTCGGAGATTATAATTATCGATGTCCGCCTTATTGATCCTAGAGAGATCAGGCTGCGATCGCGAAATGGTTAACTTCTCCGACGGCCCGAGGAGTCGATTCTTCAACAGCGTGGACATATATGGCGTTAATCCGTCCTCGTACTCATTGTCGTTCTGCTTCCTCCGATCGCCGTCTCTTATTCTGATCTCTCCTAGTCTCATCTCTAGGCTACCACCATTATTCGTGTATGACGGCACCTTCACCTCTTTCGCAAGATGTTTCAAAACCTATGCGACGCACAAAGACGCTATTTTTACATACAAATAATAAGTTATGATTATTTGATTCGGAAAATTTAATAGTGACTTTTGTATCGTTAAAACTGGAATACCTATTTATCTTTTTACTATCAATTTATTATCAATCTTCATGTTAAATTTCTACGTCGATTGTCAAAGTGCTAACTGATTCCCATATCATTTTCATAGTTTATCACACCTGAGACTGACTAAGGTAATCGTCCGGAATATCCGTGATTTCCTGACAACCGCCACTGCCAGATTGCTCGTGGCCGTAATCCTCGTGCGACAAATTGGATAGAGATTGCATCGTAGGACTATTCGAATGACCCTTTCCACCGCCATCGCAGTACAGGTAGCTCACATCCCCATGTTCCCTCACCATGCCCGATAGTCTGTACGCACAAATAAAAATTTCGAAAAATGTAAGGAAAGCCTTAAATCGCTAATTAAAAATAATTACCGTCCAGATGGTATCCATGAGTTGTCGTCATTGGCGTTGTGTATGATCAATGTGTTGTAAGAGCTTGTCGAGACATCCAGACTACTTCTGTTCGAACCCACACTAGTGCGATTGCTCAAATTGTCCTTTAAACTGTTCCGATTGGATCCATTAATGCTGTCTTTCAAACTGTTACGATTCGAGCCGTTCAGGCTCTCCTTCAGACTGTTCCTGTTCGATCCATTCAAACTATCTTTCAGACTGTTCCTATTGTGCAAGTTGCCCTGTGTATCACGATAAAAAAAATCTCAATCTCTATACTAAATTGGAAAAAATTCGTAATTGTTCCATTGTTTAATTCTTTTAACAATTTTGCACGAGTGTTGAATGCACCTGAATGTTCGGTATGTTTTCTTTATGACTGGAAGATCTGGAGGGACTCTGCTGTTGATTCTCCTGACCCTGCGGCTCTTGCCTCTCCGTGTGTCTTATAACATATCGTTCTTCGTTGCTTAAATTCTCGTTGGATGTGGAAACATCAGTATCGCTACCGCTCAAACTTTGAGGAAGACCACCTGTAAAACATATTGAGTATTATGTGTATTTTTTCTAATAATTTATTATGATGTTTTTACAAGCAATGTTTACCTTGCATAGACAATTGTTTCCTTTGTAAATTGTTGTTTGAGAACGGCAGGAACCTGCTTCCTTGTTGTAGTGAGCTCATTTTCACGAGTTTCAGCTCATTTACATCGATTATTTTGTATCTTTTTTCTATCTATAAAAAAGCAAGAAATACGTTAGATCTGCGAGCAAAAAAATGAGCGATATACAGGAAAAAAATATGTAGTGGTTCAAATGTGTGGAACCAAGCTGTAATGAATCTCTATTGAATTCTACTGAAAAATTTTCCGGCAAATTCAAAGTACTCTACAGTTTTACGATTCTACGACGACGAAGAGTCGTATAAATAAACAATAGAACGCATTCTCATCATCGTATCATCATCGGGGTGTATCTGCCAAGTGACTGCGCGGAGTCGTGTTCCGCAAAATAAAACGCGCCTCCACGCGATCGCAACGTAACGGCGACGCGGAACCACAAATTGAATCTTCGATCGATTTTACTCACTCGATGCAAAACTGCGACAATCGTGTCGAATATTCGTAATTATTTCCAATAAATCGATATACTCCACTTGTCCCTGCACAAGAAATAAAAAAGACTGGTTGCCGCATTCCTCGTCAGAACGCGCCACCGGTGCCTCAGGCGAATCCTTTGGATGATTTTCAACAAACGATTGAAAATGCTAAAAAAAAATAAAATAGTGAGGTATTTGCGACGCATTGTAGAATAGCCTTAAACTTTATGTACATTTTTTTATATTAAATTTACGCATATTCTGTTCCAAGAATATTTCTAAAGTAAAAATTAGGTTCCACAAAAAATTTCTTTTATAATATATAGCATGACAAATACAGTGTCAAACAAAGAAATTAAAAAAATTAATTAATTCTCATAAGAAGGATATTTATTCCAACTAGTAAAAGAGCATTTCATGCTCTACAGCAATTATTTTTCTTTTCGCAAAAGAGTCGGTCTTTTTGAATATTTTGGCGAAAATAACAAATAATTAAATTAAACTCTAATAAAGCGAGAAGATACCTGTCAATCGTATCCATCGTTGTAACTGTTCGCTTCATTCGGTTATTATTAGTAATGTTTTTACAAAACAAATGCAAGACGTATAGATGCACGAGATTGCACAACAATAATGTGGCATCACGGGCAGTTATCGTTTTTGCACTGAATAGCACTCAATGTTGATGTTTACTATGTACGCGAGAGTCATCCGTCGATTCGGTCGAATATTCATATCATCGAGTTTCTCGTGTGAAGATTCATACCTATCAATAGTACCGAGTTATCAAAGATTTTTGCAGATTACATTTAATCATAATTGTACGTATCTGTTTTTCGCGATAGGATTGAAGATAATCGCGTTATCATCACAATAAGAATATCACAGAATATTTTTAAATGTTTTTTAAAGATAATAGAATAGAAAACGTTATTATTATAACCTGGAACGATCATGTAGACATCATGCAATCATAACACAATAATCTTTTCAGTAACACGGAGCTTGTACGTTTCACCTTATCGGGAAGCAAATATCGTAATTACATCTGACAACGAAATGGAGCTGAACGTCGACTACAATCAGCTTTTGAAAGCACAAAAGGATGATAACATTCTGATCGTCGATGTTAGAGAGCAAAATGAGATAAACGAGACTGGCAAATTACCTGGCAGTATTCATATTCCAAGTAGGAATCTTTCATCTATATTTATAAGTTCTGAAAAATACATATATCATAATACTATAATCATGTTATAATAGCATCAAAGTAAGTAATGTATCATGATAAAATAATATAAAATATTATATAAAGAACATATGCAATATACTTATTTAGTGGGCGATGTTGAGAACATATTCTTAAATCTGTCAGAAGAGAATTTTGAGCAACGTTATGGCAGACGTAAGCCTACTAAAGATTCCAAAATCATATTTAGCTGTCGATCTGGCAGAAGAAGTGCTATGGTACAAGAAGCAATACAGAAGTTAGGATATGCAAAGTATGCTGATATTATCTTTTAGGACTATTGATAAAAGTTGAAAGATTGATGTTTGTTTATTTTGCAGGGTGTACAATTACACAGGAGGCTGGTTGGATTGGGAGAGCAAACAAAGTAATTGATAAGAAAACAAGGAGCTATTATTACAATAGTATGAATAGTACATTGTCATATATTACATTAATTTTTAATACACATAGCAATTCTCTGTGATGTTTTACTATGCAAATAAAGGACAGTTTTATTTAATCTCATCATTTTTTGATAATTATAGTCATGAAAAACATCCAGAAAATATATCTTTTTTGGCAAAATAAATCTTTATTGAATATATATTGATAGTATGTTTTATTTACATTGTATTCTTGCATGGTATACAAAGGTCAGAAGGTACAGAATTATATATAAATTTTATACAAGAAACTATGCTGACATTTTATATACATGACAAAATTATCGGTTAATTTTTTTCTTGCGCCAATTTTTTCTGGTTAATCATCTCTCTAAATTGTCCCAATATAAGATTCTCCCTTTTTTGTCGTTCCTCTTTGCTAAACATTGCTAAAGCACGCTTTTCGTCAGCAGAGTATATCTGATTCTCCTTACGAATACGAACCGCTTCCATGCGACGATGCCTTTGAAGAGAAACAAAAGCATGACGTCAGAAAACGAGTAGTCCATAATACATATAACGATTATTAGTATGTCAATCATCAAGAAATTTAAACGCATTCGATATACGTTACCTGCTGCCACTCATGACATAACCAACGGATTCATATGAGGCAATTTCCTCTGACGTGAGACCAATTTCACCTCTTCTGGGTATACGTTTACCCTCGGCGACGTAAGCAGCCATTGCTGCACCCTCGCCTGGTAACAGGGCTTTGCCAAAATCTTTGGCTGAAAGAGTTACATGTGGCTTTGGAGCAGGTCCAACCACACCATCATCTCCACTCTCATCCGAACTTGAGCCTTTCTTCGGTTTCAGGTTACCGACGACTGCACTCTTTTCAACCCAAACTTCTTCTTCGCTGTCATCATTGCTGCTACTATCATCAGAGCTACTACTGTCCGTATCTTTCTTTGCTTTTTTCTTTTTTCTCTTTTCCCTCTTTGCTTCTTTCTTTGCCTTCTTCTCCTTCTTTCTTTCTTTCTTTGCTTTTTTCTCCTTCTTCAGTTTCTTACTTTTCTAAAATAAAATGTTTAGTGTTACTAACGTTTTTGATCTTATAATAATGTAATACATACCTTTTTCTTTAAATCGTGTTTCTTTCTCTTACGATCCTTTGGTAGAACGTTATCTTTATGTTTGTTCAAATCTTCATCTTGCTCGTCAGAACTACTGCAAAAAAAAAGAAAATATTAAAACTATAATACATAATTTTAATTTAATCCTTAAAATGCTACAAACTGATATAAGCTCAACAAAAACTGTAATCCATCTGTTCGAAGTGAAATATTTGCCATGGCCTATTTTGCATAATAAAAACACTTTGATTCCCAATATTAAATATTTTACATTTAAGATAATTTCAGACTTATATTCTAAATATGATTGTTAAACAATGTTTAATGATATGTGCCACATCAATTAATACCTTGATTGAATATAAAATAGAAATTGAATACAAATGGAAAACTGTTTTCAACATATATTAATTAAATTTACTAGATACAATTAAAATATATGTTAGGTACCTAAGAACCTCTAATGGTTCATGAATATATTATCAAAGATCTATTCAATAAGAAATACAAACTATTCGATTTGTGTGGGAGATTTGCTCCAAGCCTCAGGAACTCCTCGTAATCCTATAAGTTCTCTATCGCGTCTTCGCGCGTCCATCATCTTCTCGTTCATCATTTTCTCTTTTTTTATAAATGTATACCCTTGTTCAGATACAGTACTATTCTGTTTAGCTCACGTTTATAAATGTGCTTCAGCGTTTATTTCTGTAATGAAGAAATTGTATACCATATGTTCGGTGTGTTCTTTCTCTTTCCGAATATTAACTCAGAAAAACAGGAGAGAGAGATAATACTTTTTCACCTTCCAATTTTTTTCAAATATACCCTTTGTTGACAACAGATTAGATTTGTTGGTGAGTGCATGTTATATGTAAAATGACAAAACACTTTTCTTCTTTTTTATTTCTTTCTATAGATATCCGTCACTTTATGCACGTAATTTATTTTTCTAATTATTCTTCTTTCTCAAGTTTTCAAATCGACTATCGTAATATAACCTAAAACTTATTGAGTATAACTGACGTAACCCACCATGATACCAGAACGTAGAGACGCGGCCTGTGACGCGGCTCTCTCGTAAATCGTAATGGAGGGAACGATGCATATAATCGAGAATACAATCGCAGAACAGCGTAAATGTGTGTTTCAATTATCTCAAGTAGTAGAAAAGAGCAAATTACTACTTTTTCTATCTTGTTCGAACGAGGTGACACAAAGACGACATTGCATGTTCACTTTATATCAGACGATGAAAATAATTAATATTAATAAACTTTAAAAAAATAAGACAAAATGATGGAACGTTTTTAGAATTCTAGAAGCACTTCTGAGATACTGTTGAAACTGATTCAGATATAATTAAGTATCGTATAATTATCTTATTGGAGCTGAGAACTCGACTTTTAATATTTAATTAACAAATTATTAACAATTAGCATTATGAATTTTACAACAAACAAATCTCAAAAATTTTAAAAAAGATGTTAGAATTATTTAAGAATCTTACGAGCATGCTAAAATACTGTCAAAAGTAGCCCAGAAGTGAAAATAAGCATGTAGAAAGAGTAAGATTACTCGTTGGAACGGCCCCGAAACGTACTATTTTAGCCGGAATTTTAAGAAATTAAAATATTGTTAACAGGAGCACATGATGATATAGGAGCTCTCTAAGAGCTTGCTCATAGCAGTGCCATCTACAACATTATGTAAACCAACTAGTGCAGTCGGTACACTTACTATCAATGCATTCGTAATGTTATTTTAGGTTTTAGGTTGTTTTCCAGCAAAAGACACAAGTTGACACAAATCGACATAAGTATCACTCTATCTTTGTTCGATATTCAATGAGCAACAGAAAGAATAATACTTTTGTGTCGCTTGTGTCTCTTGGTGAAAAACTACCATTAGTTAATCAATAGATGGCACTATTCGAGTAAGCTCCTCTGTCATCATGTACTCCTGTTAACAATTTCATAAAATCCCGGCTAAAATGGAGCGTTTCTTGCCGTTCCAGCGGGTAATTTAAATTTTTCTACATGCTTCTGGGCTACTTTTGATAGGGCTACGTTAGATTGTTCGTAAAACACTTAAATAATTAAAATGTCTTTCTCTAAAAATTTTTGTTTTCAGAGTTTTACAAGCATCCTGATACTGTTAAAACCTGACTAAATTTATAAAGTTTATTGTCATTGTTTAAAGTTTATTAATGTTTATTAATATGAAATAAATTAAATTAAAATTTTCTTAAATTAAAAAGATCTCTTACGAGATCGTTAAATAGAAATCTACAGAAGGAATTAGTTAACAATACGCTAATAATGATGTTTCCTACAAGAACTGTCGCTTTTATTGAAATTGGTGTGTATACATGAGTGGCACAGTGCTTTTATGTATTTCCGACGCCTTACTCTGTATAATACCGTACACTGCGATTCGAATAATGAGCGAGTTGAGCTTTTACGCTTCGAAATGTTTACTTTAATAATCTCTCTACTGGTCCGGTGCATAGTTTTCTCTCTTTATAATGTCTACAATAATATGTATATGCATATATACACTGACATACATACATACATACATATACAAAAAGTCCAAGGAAAATTACCACTACTATCTCGTCGTGATTCGAACGATTTCAAGAGACCGGATCGATCCTGAGACCTTCTGTATACGCATATATAGCATATTATATTTTATCACATATCACTATGTATAAAATTAATGTATAAGAGATATTTTTAGAATCTTTTGGCAAACTTCCATAACGTCAGAGAATGAAAATATTCGCAATGCTTTGCAAGAATCTTAAATAATTATTCTGTTCAAAGTTATATATTATAAGAGATATGATTAAAGTTATAAATAAATATTAAATTAAATTTTATTAACCATGTTGATTTATATGTAAATTATATAAACAAACATAATGTGCAATAATATAAAAACATGCGCAACAATATACAATTCAATTTAATTCTTATCTAACAAAATCTGCTTTGAAAGTTTGTCAAAAAAATCTTGAAACATTCTATACAGAGTAAGGTACTTGACTATCATCTCCACAAAGCCCATCTATCGAGATGATAATGTCAAGTGCCTCACCCTGTATAATATGTACATATACATATATATGTATATCGGAGAGCACGTGGATGTCGCATTATATGTACAGATGTTTGAAATTTGGGGAAGAGCTGGAGAAATAGAACGATCGAATGATCAGAATGATGAACAGAATGATATCAATCAAGTCAAAGAGATCGATGTGTCATTTTCTTTCCATAATAGTACCTGTGTCCATTTATTGTTATTAAAGCCATATTGTTATTTGCCAAATGTTGGCAAAAGAAAAAAAAGAATTAAATTAATTGCAGAAATCAAAGTTATCTTTTCATTATTTTCAAATATTGTTTCTAAATAAAATATGCGACTTTAGACTTTCTTCTTATGCTACCCTTCCCTTTTTTAATCTATATTATACAAGTACCTTTATATGTATATGTAATATAAATAAATAAATATATGTATTTATTTAGATACCGACAAGATAGTTTTTACCGAATGTAACAAAAATGTGAATAAAACGACAAATTTAATGATAATCAATTTAAATATTAAATAATGTCCTATATGTATCTATATAATAACAATAATATAGACTATATAATATATATAAAGAATTTATATATGTATTTTTTATAAGAATATAAAAACAATATATATTTTTTTAAAGATACAAAGATAAACGAATTTTTTATATATACGCGATATTGAAAGTGTGAAATAATAAAATGAACTTTTATCATGAATAGATATAAACGCAATTTTTTTGACATTAGAATATTCCACGTGCGAAAAAGGCAGTATATTTGTTAAGTTCCATCGCGAGATCGTGAGTCTCCCGAAACGGAACATCTTCATTTTATATTTATTTATATACTCTTCTACGAACCCTGACCTGTTATCTCCAAGATAACTATATACTTTATACTTCAACATCATTCAATTAATCTCGTTATCCATATAATTCTGAAATATATGATCTTATTCATAAAACGCACTTTTGTTTCCGCGCGCGCGGTTCTAATCTCTATTATTATTATATATATATTTATATTTATCTTTGTTAGAATACTCGCGAGAAATACGCAACTTGTCTGCTCTGTTCTAATTTCTAAAATAATTATCGCTATGTATGAATGCGTATTAATGAACGTATGTCTTCAGGTAATAATAGCGTTTGAAAGGTAGACTTCGCACTTTACCTCAGTGCTACACATTTTGAATTTTACTTTCCGTCCTGATGAGACGTTCTTAAAACTATATCTAAGTTTAAAGACTTGTAGTGGTGGTGGTGGTGTGTGTGTGTGTGTGTGTGTTGCGTCTGTCTGTGTGTAGAGATAACACAGCGCGTAATGTAACTAATTATATATATAGAGAACTATCACAAATAAGTACATCACTAATATCTTACAAACAGAAGACATTCGGTGGTGTGTAGATTTCGTTTCGATTCAAATTATCGATAAACCCATCACTTTTTTATTGATACATCTAGCATTCCCACGAAACCCTTGCGAAAAATATATGTATCAATAAAAATGATAGATTTAATTTCAAGCTGAGTTTAAGTTGCAACTTTTATCTGATAAATCAATTGAAAGTTGCAATTGAATTCGAGCTCTGATATAGACGAGAATAAAGCGTGGTTTTATCGTCGAAAATTAATGGGGAAAGAAAAAGACGACGCGTGGCAAAATTTTGGAAATTTGCCACCGTTCTGCAATTATATATGGCACCGCGAGGGAGATTTATCGAGTAGAGTTAATCATTTGGACGGTGAAGCACAAATTTAGACAGTCGTTTCCCGGTCCACGTGAATGTACTCCACGAAACCGGGCGGTTGTTGTCAGGATGCTGCTCCGAGAAGCGTTTCCTCTGTCGGTGCTCGTCGCGGTTTCTTGCTCTTCTTCGTCCCGTTGTAGTGAAGTCTCTTTGTGCGAGCTTTGGATCTACAATAAAAAATAAAATAAGAATAAAAGTAAATTTCCTTCTCTAATTTGGTTTGACAACAAATGTGTATTCTTCAACCACATCAATATAAAATTCAAATTTAAAGAACTGGAAATATGTAGAAAATGTTGAGAAAAAATAACAATGTTTAGTATTATTAAATAAAAAAGAATTGCATTAGAGGAAAGTATAATATTTGGGTGCTATTTGTTTAAAGGCGTAATTACCTGCTAATAAGAATAGTGAATAGGCACGCGAAGGCAGTGACAATTCCAGCGACGCCGGCCATGACGAGCCATATGGTGGGAGGCAGTAGACCGAGTAGTCGGGCACCATTGCCACAGTTGGCCTCGTCGTGACCGGATGGGCAGTGTGCGTGACCGTCACACCAAAGACTGGCAGCGATACATGCGCCCAGTTCAGGACACTTGTGCGGACAATCGCCGATATACGCGGGCATGCCGTTTGTCTCATTCTCCAGTGTTATTCCCACACCTCTATCCGGAAGACGTAGCTGTCGGCGCAACGCCGCGCGGCTTTTGGAAATTTCCAGCCATGAGGCAGCCGCCTGACCGGATTCCCGCGCTACAAAATCGAGCAATAGAGCGGGCGGTCTTGGTGGACCCGGCCATTTACCTTCTTCCGTGGCCCCCAGCCATTCCTCCGAGAACACGTGCACGGTGAATTCGCGAGCGCCTGGTTCCGCTGGACATACTACCTTCAGTAGCTTTGGCGGCCAGCCGGAATACAAAAGGATGCGGTTAGTAGTCGGGCATTTGACTTGTTCGCTGCCGGATGTCTCTGAGCTGGGAAGCAGCGGTTCCAACGGCAGAAACCAGCCCCAAGTTAGAACGAAGAGCGACCGATTTTCGCGCGCCTCCACCAACCACGGGAGACCCTCGCAGTAAATATCCGGTCTTGATAGCGGTGGCGCGACAAATCTCAGTTCGCCACCTTCGCCGCGAATTCTCTGCTTTCGCGGGCACTCCGGCACGCGAATGAGTTCAAAGCTGGCGTAGAAGAAAAGTGTCTCAAAGTCCTCGTGAGGCGCTTGTTGGTCTACCAAAAATGTCAATTCCAGTGCGCGGCCAGAAGAGATGTATGTAAGCGGTAGATGCGACGTGTTGTCACACAAACACGCTCGAGGCAGTTTCACGTCACGCCACGGTGCCTCATAGATGACCAGACTCGCCTCCCTCGATCCTGTTTCGTGAAAGCACCGTGGTCTACCAGTGTGCGGATCCGAATCACTTGTGCACATAGTGGATTCACCCAGACTGACGTTGTGAAGTGTTAGGCGGATCCGTTCACCGGCACCGGCTTCCACGCGATACCTGTAATTGAGAATAATATCAAGATTAGTATGCGTTCAGTTGGGCATACAACATCTATGGATTGCAATTTAAAATGCGTCCATCTCAGTGCTTTCATCTTCGGGAAGAATCGAATCTCTGTATAGTACTCTCATATTTACCTGCAATCCAACTTGTTAGCACCACCTCGACCGAAGAGGCGTACATCGCGTGGCGACATCACCTCGCCGGTGCGCACCTTACGCCACACTCGATTGCAAACACCGTCGCCCCATTGTTCGCCGGTTTGAACGGTGGAAATAAATTCATATCGTGCCTGGAACAAAAACCAATAATTGCAGTTGAACGATAAAAGTCTAAAATATCGACCGATTTATTCGCAATTAAATAAATAAATAATTGTATTTAACAGTCAAAGAGAAGTATACAGTTGTACATCCGAAATAACATCAACTGTTCCATTGCTCGATAAGCAATTGCCAATTGAATAATTAAACCAAGCACAAACGGAGATATCTTTTCGGCCTAAATGCAACACTTGGTGCACTTACGTGGAAATTGATCGGATGAAGAGCAGTGCCAAAAATAGTCTCCATGCGTAATGTCAAACTCGGCGTGGTCGTGAGGTAGCTCTCTTCCTCAGTGCACGGCCTCGTGCTTCTCGTGATGTTTCGGAGAGCTGCGTGAGCGCACAGTTTGGGCGTGTCGTCGCATAACGTGGCCATCGGTTGGCCCGTATTTGGCGCGCCGTCCCAAAAAATGAGTTTAACAGTGCACGGCGACAACGAACTATCCGCTACCGATTGTCCGACGCTCGCGTTGTTCTCACCATTCGTGGTCAAGTCGCGTTGCGAATACGACGAAAAATATATCCATACACGATCGCCAGTCGCACCCTTAATGTTCCAGGTACAGCTGGAACCGGGTGGTAGCGCGTGCAAGGGCGCGCGTATTATGCCGCTTCGCTTGTTGCCTACTCCGGTGCCGTTGACAAAAAAGTGACAGCCTTGCGCGCCCTTGGCGTAGTCCAAGCCGTCAGAGTCGACATAAACGACGCGTAGCTCGAGTTCCAGTCGCAACGCTGATGCGCCCAATGGTATCGCCACAGCCGAGCTGCGAAACTCCACCTGCATTGCGGGTCCGCGTGCGGTGACCTGCGGCAGTGGACCGCCGCAATATATCAGAAGCACAGAATCCTCCGTGCGTGCGCCGTCGCGAAAAATCAGACGGTCTTTCTCCGGTGGACAATCCTGCCAGACGCTGAGACTCGTGTTGACGGCAGCGTTGAGACCGACCGGACTGGGAGCTGTGTACTTGACAGATATCATGGCGTGCTTACAAGTGGGCACCTCCTTTTGACGCACGGTGATCAGGCAGCTGGCGTTACGCGGATACTCGCCAGGATAGTTTGGACTCTGCAGCCGGCACTGCTTCAGATGGCACTCGTAAAAGTTGCGGGAACAATAGGTGCCCGGTACCGGAGAACCTCGTTCGATCGGCAAGTCTGGTTTGCCCAATCGAGCGACCGCTTCATTGCGTGAGACGAAGCGATAACGAAGACGAAACTCGAACGGCACCGCGGCTGGTGCATGGAAGAGCCGTATGGAAGCGGTGACTGTACTGGTCTCGCTGTAATAATAAATTTTTTAAATCGGCACAATCAAAAACTGAGACCTGCCAAGATCAAATTTTTAATATCCTCGTTTATCATAGCCGTGGTTGTAATAAAAAATTACAAAAGCTCAAAAATAAAAGAAGATGGCACGGAAACCATCCTTTTGGATTGCTAAAAAAAGCGAATCTTCTCGTCAGTTTATTGAGAGAATTAAGAAAAACTACACATTACTAAGCCAGAGAATAAGTCAATTGGTGTAAACATCCGTTTGCACATTCAAATATATTTGAGTGTTTGTTGCAACGTCTAACATATTCTTTAATGAAGCTAGAACTTATTGAAATTAAACCTTCTGTTTGTGCAAACATCGCGACTTTACGTTCACACACTCGAAGAGATCGTTAGATAGGCTTACTCGAACAAGTTGGCGCAAACACGTTTGAGTGTTTAAACAACTTTTAAACGTCGTAAAAGTAACACGACCAACTCGAGATACCTGTAGTAGGACGCACGGTCCTCGCCGACGCCGCACCAGGAGCCGCCAGTAAAGTGTCTGCCGAGCTCGGCGAGCTGTAGCGAGCCCTCGCGACAGCTGGTGAAGTAGTTGTCGGCGTTTGCGTCCACGCGGCCGACACTGAACGCATCCCACAGCAGCTGGACCAGTTCTCCGTAACCCTGACCGGCCGCGGTGAACGTTAAATGGCAGAGAAACGGCAGTCGTTCTTCGGCCGGTCTGAGCAAGTCCAACTTGTACGTGCGTCCCTCGCGACCGTGATACGTGCGATTGCACGGTGTACACATCGCCGGCTCGTCGCTGCCGTCGCCGCAGTCATTCTCGCCGTTGCAATAAGCGTCGATTGGCACACAGCGGCCGTCGCGACACGTCAATTCAGCCAGTCCGCAAGTGCCTCCTCCGCCGCCTCCACCTCCGCCTCCGCCGACGCCAATGCCGCTACCCCCAGCTCCCGTGCCACCTCCGACACCACCGCCGCTGGATGCGTCCGCAATCAGCAGCAACAAGACGATGCCGATGTACAATGGTCGAAACTGTTTGCTGCTGTTGTTGTCAGATCCTCCTCCGGCATCAGCTATCTCCTGTTGAACGAGAGAGAAATCGATCAGCAGATCTCTCAACAGATTCTACGTATAATCTCTTGAGATTTTTCATATTGCAAATTTTTAACTAATCTTAAAGATTGGAATAATTATTTTTCTGAAATAACTCTGAGAAATAATATAACACAATAGCAGAAAAATTATAAATGTCTGATCAGGGACTGCGAGGTGTGAATTTATCTCTCGGCACGAGCGGAGCTAATCGTATTAACGTCAACTCGTCTTAATACGGACGAGATTTAAATCGATCGCGGCCCGATTCCTCCGACGCGTCGTAAACACCGGTTTCGACGAGTGCTCTAAATAAACCCGTGACACAATTACGCTAATTTTAATCCACTCAGCGCTCCCGATTCGACATTTATAATTATTAATAATGAATGATCGAATTAACGATGGACTGCGTCAATTACCATAATAGTTTGCCAGCGAAACGAGCATATCACAGTGACAATTCCGACAGTGCGATTCGGATGTTGGCGAATGAGAGCATGCTGGCTTGACGATAATATAAACGGGGGGAAAAAGAAAAAAGAAGAAAAACTAGAATCGCGAATAGCGATTGGCAGTAGTCGCCAGCACCGACATTTCCAACGGTTCAATTGCAACAATAACGATGACAAGGACAATTTTTAGCTTCTCCTGGAAGACAGAGCGACGACGGGAACCCCGCCTACGCGTCGTCGCCACAGCACTCACGAGGAGCGCCGCCACCCGCCACTCGTTGTGCACACCCCAAAGGTCGATGTGCAACTGCACGCTACCACATACTTTTCCCGGAGGGTAGCAAGCTGCGCGCCGCCGCTGCAGGCCATATACCGGGGCAGGGGTGAACAGAACGGGGCTGAGCTCTGCGCGCTCGGTGGAGAGAGCTGTGCCTTGCCTGCCTGGCTGGCTGGCTGGCTGGTTGGCTAGCTGCTAGGCGCCTCAATGCATCGATCGGCTCTCTCTCTCTTTCTCTCTCTTCCCATCCCTGTCTATAACGCCCTAAAGCTCCTCGACGCACACCGAGAGCTGAAAAGCGGGGGAGGGAAGCTCCAAGATTCACGCGGATTCCCGCGGGTACCGTGGATCAATTGGACGTGATCGTACGATCCTAACATCAATACGATCCGGCGAGGAAGAAACTTGCGGGTTTGCTGGAAAAGATAAAATAGAATTTCCTAATGCTTCGGGAATCCAGATTTGTGGATAAATGTCGAGCTATCAAAGTTACACCGTTCACCATCTGCAAGCTATATCCTGCTGCGCATCTCCTCGGGATTTTGCTTATCGGAATTTTTGCGCTCCAGTAACCGCCCTCCGGGTTCGGCTAAGCATCATTGACCGTATCTCTGCGAAAATACGCTATTTCTCACCGCCGACGGTCGAATCCGAGCGTCGTGTAATATAGGTCTGACTAACTGAATTTACATAATATCCGTTATCAAGACGTGCTTCGATTGTGTAAGATGATTAACCGATTTCCGCACCAAGACGGAAGCCACCAGTGTTTGCTTTCCGTATCGGGTGATATATGTATATTAGTAGATAAGTGGATTCTGTCAGCGCGTCCCCCTTTTCACTCTGCTGTCCGTGAGGTCATCAACTGTCGAGACTCTTGGCGCTTTACAGAATGCGTCCCCCTGACTTAATCATCTCGAGTGTCGCCATTGTTAGAAATTATTCAATTCGAGAAGACAAAAATCGTAATCATCCAAGTTTTGCCACCTGTAATTTTTTTCACAATTTAGAGATTATTCACATTTTCTTAAGTGAATAATATTAATATCGTTTTGTATGATGTAAAAAAATTTCCGTCTCACCATTAAATCTTACGTAAATTAAAATTACAAATTCAAAGCTGTTTGAAGAAGAAATTTCGGACAACTTTGTCGGACGAGGTGCGACTTTTGTACGAAAGCATGCATCGAACAGCGCGCAATACGCGGAATTTTTTTACGTATAATGACCTTGACCTTCCGCCCGACATTCTTTTCTTGCATATTTTTCCACACAATCAGTCAGTAGAGATGATTGAGTTAGATGAATCATCCTGTATAAACCTGACGCATTATAGGCTGTGCGACGCAGTCTCCTTGCAAGTTTCTAATATTCTCCTTCCGGAGATCTCTCCGAGCTTCAAGAGCTTCTCAAAGCTGGAGGAGGCGCGTGCATCCGTGCCGCGAGGCAAAGCGTGTCGAGGACATCATCACCGCTCAACAATATTCTGTTGCCCTTAATACACATATACGTGTAACCATTGACGCGTGTACTACAGCTTTCTTGCATCGACGATGCAAGCGGCGATAATGAAGCTATTGAACGCGGGCGCAACCCTTCTCGCTCTTTCTTTTTATTTTTCTGTCTCTTTCTTTTTCTCTGGACAGTGCATACTATAAAAGATTGATGCTAACTCTCTCTTATCGCGTTATCAGGATTATGATACTCGAGCGGTCGTTCTCCTTTTTTTTTTTTCTACCGACTATCGATCTTGCGTCCGCTCATTATCTTTGCTTATTAGAAACAGTTCATCGTCCGCGACGCTCCGTCAATTGATCTAATCTCGTAACGCGGTTACGAGGTGAATCCGATACGAAAGGAGCGAGTGGCGATAAATAATCGTGCATTTATAATTAAAGCGAACGGTATACCTTAGTGCATCGAAATAATCGTTCCGTGTATGTATTTTTCCTACAAAATCGTGAATTTTAAATGAATATGACATATGTAAGTAATACATTAAACAAATATTAATATTAAAATAATAAACTTACACGTAGAAAAGTCAAATATTATTTCAAATAAAGCACATTATTAGTTCCTATTAAATTTTATGGAAAAGAAAAACATTAGCAGACCGTACATCACATTTCACAGATGATCCTATAATTCATAAATACAACAAATAAAAACATTCTATATTAATCAACATCGTTGGTCTATATTGACCAATAGAAACTGAGATGTATTAAAGAAACATTCGTTTCAATACGAACTGAGATATACCAAAAAATATCTTTAATAGAGAAAAAAAGAAATACCAAAAAAACAATCTCAAAACCGTCAATATCAAACACCTTGAATAGGTCTCGAAATGATCACCTCGTTGCCGTCCTTAATAAAGCATTACTTGTGAAGTACTTTTACTTCTGGGAATGGATTGGGAAGGGTAGAGTTCCTAGAAAAATGACAGAAAAATGAGTTGCAATTAGCGCGATTACCAGTAAATGCGCTAAAAAAAAAAAAAAGAAAATGCACTTGAGAAGTGCAAAAAAGAAATGTATTCATTCGCGATTGCTCATCGACGAATGCAAAAAGTGCAAAAAAATTTATTAATGTTAATCGCGTTTAGAAAATCACGTAATGTTATTACTGAGCCTTCAAAAGACTTAAGATTTATATTTGTTTATATGATGCGCACCAAGCTGTCAGTTATCTTGTTGAGACAATATCGTGCGCTTTTATGATTCATGAAAAATGAGCTGAAAATTACAAGTGAGAATCTTAGTTTTGTTTTAGAACATGTAAAACTGATAAAAAAATTTATTCGCTGTTTTTTCTTTCATACGACTTAATATAAGTTAAGACAATCATGTTGTAGAAGATAATAAATTTAATACAATTTAAACATCTCTCTCTCTCTC